CCCGCTGTGCCACCAGGGAGGGCCGAGAACTGATTTCTTAATGATACTTTCCAAAATGATTTCCTTTTTCATCTCCCAGAGAGTCTCCAATAGTTTTGTTAATGTTAAAATTCTAAATCTTTGAGGGCTGTTTTGTATCTTACTAAGTGATTTAACTTCACACTCCAGAAGTAACTGACTTTTGGCCATAGTTCAAGTGACATGTGTGGCAAATAGCATGTGACTGCCTTTCTGACACATTGTACTAGAAGAGGGATTTCCCTTGCACTACGTGTAGGTTTATATTAAGACTGGGATGACCTTATGAAATTCTTTGATTTGTTTTCACTATGAATCTTCCCAGTAGTAGTAGTAGTAGTAGTAGTAGTGGTAGTAGTCGTCTACCTGAAAGTCTTGGTGGAAAAGAAGTACAATAGTTGTTTCTCTCTGCTTATAGTGTTATTCAGTAAGGGAGCAGGTCATGTTGAGTGGAAATTCCTTAGCTTATATGTAGAAGCCTGAGAGAATCTTCAGAAGACTGGGTGTAGTCAAGGATGTTGGTTTGAATCTTGCCAGCAATTGATATTTTGACCTTTAGTTTATTCATCTGTAAAAGGCAGTTAATGAATACCTATTTCATGGGCTTAGTATGAGATACCAGTAAAAATCTAAAGGTTTGGCATGTAATGGGTGATCTGTGAATGTTAACTTTCTCCTTAGAAAAGAAACTACCTGAATGTCATTATGTACTTGCAAAACTAGCTGGAGCCTGTTCCTGCCAGCTTTAAGGCAACCACCCACACGTTCTGGATATGTCTCCACCAAGATCATTTTCTCTCATTACAGCTAATATATGACAGGTAGAACAATAGAATAAGTCTGAATTGAATGTCTTGGGTATCTCCTAACATGAGAAAAATCTTGGATGAAGGAAAGGGGACCCAAATACTACAAAATTGTGAACAATGATATCTGTGATCTTGTGATGTGGGAAAATAAGGTACTCTACCAACCCAGCCTACTTGAACTCATTGCCAAACAAGTTTTACAGCTCCTCCTGAAGTAAAGACTGTGTGACCTAATGGTGGGAAATGAACAGAAGTAAGAGGTACTATTGAAGTACTGGAAAAAGAGTTTGAGATTGCTCACCTCTTCTTAGTAATTCTCTAGTAGTCTTCTTGCCCTTGAACCTTCTGTTCTCTGCATGACTCAGTCTCCCTTTTAGTTTTAAGGTCCTGTAACTCCTGCCTGAACATGCTGCTTTGTTTGCCATCCTAGCAGGGAGGGTGAACTGGTTCAGTTTCATTTTAGCAAGTCCAAGCCTGTTTTTAAAATGGCACTGGTAATTAATTCCCTAGCCTTTTAGTTGGTCAAGGTGAAGAAAGGTGGGACTTTTCATTCTAAAATCTCATTCTTGCTTTCCTAGTACCACTACTTGTGGCTGAAACAAATCATCCCATCATCTCCCATTTCTCTGCCTTGGTGTTTATTTTGTAACCCTTAGAACTTGTACGAAGATCTTCAGGCTCAAAAGATGTTGAACATGGAAAATATTGACACTAGAATTAGAGGCTAGTACAGGATGTCTTCTTAAGTTTTAGTTATAAATAGTTTTTCTTTTTTTAAAGATTTATTTATTTATGAATACAGAACTGAGGTACAGGCCAGAGGTGCAGGGGCGGTGAGAGGCTTCACCAGAGAGAGAGTGGGGAGCAGAACAGGCAGATCGACAAAGTACACTGCTGAGGGGAGCAGCGGGTGGGTCAGGAGAGGTCTGCCGTGCTATGTGGGTCACCTCTGGGGCGGGGAATAGAACTTGTGCTGAGGTAGCTTTAGCTTCTTAGTGTTGTGCTTTAACCCCCTGCGCCACCAGGGAGGACCCTATAAATAGTTTTTAAGGAGTTTTTCAGAAATCCACTTCTTTGGACTTCATTATTAAAGACATTAAACATTGACCCCAAAGCAGTTGCTGACAGGATTGGGAGCAGCTAAACTGACCTGTCTTACCACAGTTCTCCTGTACTTGCATTGTAGTTTCAGTGCTTTCTCTCACATGTCACAAAAGAGACTAAGGGTGGAGTTGTCAATTCTCTTCTGGATTTAACCAAGATCTCAGGTTGAAGGGTAGAATTTAAAACATTGGACATTAGGGTGGTAAGAGAATCTTGAGTCTCTAGCTCTGTCCTAAATGGTAAGGTTTCCTGTTGTCTTAGTACCTTCTAATCATGCACCACACAGCAGCTTCTCTTGGGTTCTCTTTCATGTCATTGGGAGCATGAGTGGCAAGAGCTTACTCAACTTGACTGCTTCTTTTTTAGTCAGTATTGATTTGGAAATAGGCTGGACTGCTTTTATTAAGGCATGTTAAATTCATAAACAGCAGCACCAGAATTCAAATAAAACCAGAAGATTTTCCTCATTATTACATTTTTAGGATGGAGAGGGACTAAATGAAGATTTCTAGACTATTCTGTTAAACAAGTCGTGGAGTCGAAATCAAGGTTCTTGATGAATTTATAAAAGGTGGGACCTTCCCTCTCCCTTCTCCTTCCTCTTCCTACAGGGGAAAACGCAATAGGTTAGGATGCAGCACTACAAAGTAGCCACAGGTGCTTCAGTGTGAGTTCCTTCCCGGTCCCTGAAGGTGATACGCATGGCACAGCCGACCTCTCTTATCTTACCCGCTACTCCCCTCAGCAGTGTACTTTATCAAGTCTGCTTGTTCTGCTCCCCACTCTGTCTCTGGTGAATCCTCTCACTGCCCGTGCACCTCTGGCCTGTACCCCGGTTCTGTATGCATAAATAAATAAATCTTTTTTTTTTTTAAATGGTGGGAGATCCAGGTATAAGCGCTTATGACAGGATTGCTCTCATTTCAACTTCTTTTCTGTTGGGCCACTGTTAACAGTCCCCTCCCCTGGTGTTTAACCATTGCAAGAAGGAAAGAAAACTTATGTTTGTTCTAGACTATAGTCTCTGGTCTTTGAGTTGTTTTGAGTTAGGGTGAGTCACAAAGGGGTGAGCATATTAGGATGTGATTCCTTTTCTCCACTGCAAAGCTAAGCCTCATGTTCCATTACCAAAAAACTGCTAGAAAGACTGATACAAAGGAATGAAGCTGGCACTCAACTTGTTTCTCAGTGACAGTTTTGGACAAAGGCAATCTTTGAAAAAAAAAACAGGGCTGTTCATTTATACCACCTGGGCATCTCCACGTTAGCTTGAGGACCAAGTCCTGCTTCCTCCTCCCTTTCTACAGGCTGTAATCTTTCCCTCTCCCTTCTCCTTCCTCTTCCTACAGGGGAAAACCTTGAGTAGCCTGACCAACTAGGAATCAATGGCAGGTGGAGAATTTGTCCAGCTTGGTAAACAAAAGCTGCCTTTGGAAGGAAGAAACTGAGGAGGGAGGGTTCCTACCATGGCAGATGATGAGCTGAATGTGTTTGCTTATTTACTTTGGGGGCTCTGACTTTCTTGTATTTGCGTTAGGGACTTCAGTGAATTGCTGTTTTCTAGTCTGTGTGTATTTATTGTCTTGTTTACTGCTCTATTATCCTGAGCATGAGCTGATTTAATCCTCATGACAATATAAGGTAGATAACAGATGAGGAAACTGAGGCATATTAGTAAATAGCTCAAGGACAAGGTGGAGCCAAGATTGAAACCTAGGCAGTTTATTTCCAAAGCCCACTCTGAGGACCTAGTGGCTGCAGTTACTTGCATATGCAGTAGTTAATACTTCCCTGTGACAGGAAGAGCTGAAGCAGAGCGAGACAAAGGAGAGCATTCCTGGCAGAGCTGGGACAGTTTTCAGATTACCTGGATAGTATGGTCGTTTTCCTCTTTCTTATCAAACCAACCTTTTCTTTTTTAGTGCTGAGGAATGTAAACAAGTTTGCTGGGCCTTGCGAGACTTCACCAGATTGTTTCGATAGCTTATACTCCTGCACTGTGCCTGTCACCCAGGTGAGTGGTGTCTGGGCCCCATCTTTTCCCTTGGCTGCCAGGCGTGCTTGGGGATTCCATCAGGGTGCAATCCTAGAGCTTGAGTCAGGAGGACCCTGTAACCATCCTAGCAGCTGGAAAATGCAGGATGCTGCTTCTCCTGAGCCAACACAGCCCAGAATTGTCAGCTCCTTTTGGATGTTGTGTTCACCCCCTTGACTCCTATAAGAAGTTTCTGTCACAGAATATCTCAGAAACAAAAGTTTCTCCCCCTTCTCTTCCATTTCTGGGATGGTGGGTGTATGTGATAACAAAGGCATTCAACCTGGCTGCTTTGGTGTGAGCAGTGCTAACTTTCGGGAAGTGACTGACACAGCACCAGTCTCCTAGACTGATCTTTGGATTTAATGAGCATAGGTTCCCCCACCCCCAACCCCCTTTTATGGCAGAAACACTGGGATGCCAGGTTTTGACCTGTAAGGCTGTATAGGAGAGAAGCTAGCATGTTGTCTAGCCCTTGATCAGTGGTTTTTCCCATGTGCTTCCTTTCTCCTGGTACAAAAGCAAAGCAAGAAGCTTAGCTGAGGAGTGAGAGGGCTGGGTAGTGGAAGAAAGGTGACTCCACCGAGCCTACCCTTTGTAGACAAAATGAATTCTCCCAGCAGGCAGCTCTTGATGCGCAATATTCTTACTGGTGGTTTCTGTGAGCAGGTGCACTAGTGCTCAGCAGTGCCTCACTATAGCAGAAAATAGTTCTGAACTCTTCTGTGTAATGGTGTCTGCACTATCCGCAGGCTTCGTAGTGCCTGTGACAGCAGCTAGCACGGCTTCAGGGCTGTGCATAGCCAGCGCCCCTCTGTGTGAGCTGCTGTTTCGAGGCTGTCAGGCAGTAAGTGCAATAAAGACCCTCATGCAGCTCTGTGGATTAGTTGCTATTACCATTCCATTTTCCAAATGGTGACATGGAGGCTCCAAGTTGTTAAGTAATCAGTTCGCTGTCACCGTCAGCGATCAGTAGAGCCGCAGGTAAGCGCACACTGGCAGGTGCCGCTCCTCACTGCCAGTCACTCCACTTAATACTTTTCCTTGATATACTTTTCATAGTGACTAAATCAGTTTTTAGACTTATGTTAGTAACCGCTTTCTTTCAAAATTAGATACTTGAAATCCCATTATTTAAATAAACTCAAAGTTGTGATTTCCGGGTTAGTTTGGATTAGGGTCCTGGAGCGCACCATCCCTGCCTAAGTGTCTCATCCCTAGTTTCTATCACACACTAAACTTGGACAAGTGCTGGTGATGGTGTGTCATTGAAGTAGTAGTCACGTCGAAATCACAAACTCCAGCTGGTTTTTTTGGTTTGTTTGTTTGTTTTAACGGAGTTCTTCTGGCAGGCAAGAATGAAGATACCTGAGCAAATACAGAAATCTGCCTTGACGTTGATTTTGTAAAATGTTCACGATCTCCTGAACCACAGTTATTGACTGCCTTCTCTCTTTTGTCAGAAATGTCTTTTTTAATTAGAAGACAGGAAGGAAAAAACCAGACTGTGTCCCACAATCAGAAACCTCCATTGTGGCAGAGGGGCCTTCACCGCCACCAGGGCGTCCGCCAGACAGGGAGAGACTCCAGCCTTCCGAGGCCATCCTGAGGAGTTCCTGTTTGGGGCTGTGAGGGAAAATCAGCGCGGTTTAAAAAAAGACGGCTGCAGCCTATCCGGCGTAGTGGGAGGGGAGCTGGTTTCCTGGTGAACTTGTTTCTAAAAGGAAAAATAATTTTAAGGAAATAAAAAAGGAAAAACAAAACTGAAGCCAGAACTGAAACATTCGCCTGGTAGCAGATGATACGCACACATATACACAACACACATGCTACCAGCATGTGTACACAGAGGAGGTGCAAGCTTTCTGTGAGGTGAAAACAGTTACCTAGGGTAGATGGAAATTCAGATGAATTAGAATCTACAATGGGAAGACCAGGGCCAGGGTCATCTCTTTCTGTTTTGTCCTCTTACTCTCTCCCACCCTTTCTTTTCCCTTTCCCATTCTGAGGGACATGAATAGAAAGTTCTCCCCAGCTGTTTTTCCAAACCCTTAGAGTGGTTTGGACAAGGACTAGGAAGCGCGAAGCCTATTTGTCTCTATCATGGTCACAGCAGCACTAGGACCTGACAGGGCCAGAATTCGTGTATAGCCATCGCTGACCCTGTTACTTCTCAGTCCACTTCAAGTCCACATTGGTTTGTCATCAGCCTTGCACAGATGAGCCAAAATTGGGGTGAGTGGGATATCAGTGTATATTCTAACTTTTAGGCTTTTTTCTTTTCTTTTCTTTTCTTTTTTTTTTTTTTTTGTTAAAGATTTAAAAAAATGTTTTACCCACATGAAAAGAATAAAAGAGGGTGACAGTATGGACAAAAGTGTTGACAGGGCTAACTGTATTTTATTTAAAAATGTGGAGCTTACTCGGTTTCATGGGTGGGTGAGGTGGGAGAGGGGAGCCCACAGCAGGCCTTCATGGTGTGAAGGAGTTGCGGCCCTGCGCAGGTACTAGATCTGAGGGCACTGTTCTGTCTGGTGTTGTAGCCATCTCAAGAACAAATCAACAGCAGAGGAAAAAAAAAACAATAAATTTTTAAAATTTAATCAGTGTTTGTTTTTACTTTCTTTCACGACTGTAGGTCACCTCAATAAGCAGTTTGTTATCTGATAGACATCAGGGTATGGAGTTTAAAGGGCAGGCCTCTGCCCATAATGGGAGATCACAGGCCCTTCCCATTTCCAGGAAATGCTTCATCCTGCATCTTTCATATTTCTGGTTCATCCAAAAGTTCCTTTTATCTTTTTATATTGGAAAGAAAGTGGGTTAAAAGGAACTGTGGGGATATTCTTTCCATGATGCCCTTGCAAGTAGATTGTTGCCTGACCTGCCTAGTACTTGGTCTTAAAAAAAAAAAAAAAAAACTGCATTCAAGTATATCTGACATACCGTAAACCACATATCAAAGGTATAAAAGTGAGAGGCTTTCGCTAAGTGTGCATCAGTGAAACCGGTTAGCACAATCAAGGTGTTGAACGTATCCCTTTTCCTTGTTAGCTCACGCTCACCCATCTAGCTCACACTCACCCATCTCCCATGTGCAGGCAGCCACCAGTCTGCTTCCTGTTGGTGTGGATTAGTTTGCATTTTCTTGAATTTTATGCAAATAAGCTCATACAGTTTGTTACCATAATTGGACTCTGAGCCAGCAATAACCCTGACTGCAGACCTACATTAATAGGTGGAATCAGTGAAAGAAGCCTTCCTGGTTAAAACATCAGTGGTACTCAGAATTGTACTCTCTAAAGAGGTGTTACTTAGAAGATGAGGAAAACCTTGAGTGTGGGACAGTTTGGAGAGTAAATTGTCAGTAAATTGCTGGGCATCAGAACATCACCCCAGCCACCATCCTTTTCTGGTTAACAGTGCAGCCACTGGTCCTTGGCAGCAAACAGTTAATGTTCTATTCAAGGAATAGTGTTTTTATCACAGAAAGTTATATGTGGGGTTAAAATACATGTGAGGCTTTAATAATAACCACTGCCAACGTCAAGAACATCCCCTCCATTGCTGTAGCATTGAGAACCAGAGCTCTAGTTCACTAGTGTTGGGACATCACTTGCATTTCTATCTGTGCGTCTTACTGATGATTTGTAAGAACTGGACTAGAGCAGTCTTGGAATTTTTTTTTTTTTTTTTTTGGCATAGCAAGAATATCTACCTACAGGTTAATTTTAAAAAGAGCACTTTGGGGTTGGGAGCCCTGATGTGTATGCTGTGTTCCTGTTGTGTTTCACCACATTGTCTAGTGAAAGCAGAATGAGTGTCTTACTTGTGAACCTAGAAGACCCAAGTTGAAGTTCTGCAGAATTGCCCCCTCAATTCCATGATTGGCTTAGCCAAAAAATTTTAGTCCTGACTGGAACACACATTGCTCATTGGAGTGCTTCCCAGCAAGATTGCAATAAAGAAAACTAATTTGTAATTTTTATGTGCCTGCTCAAAAAGATCAAAACTGAGGAGGTAGGATGAATAAGACCCAAAGGAACTTGTGTATTTGAATAACATTAACACCACAAATGCAGATTATGTGCCCTGTGTGGACCTGGTTTCACTGAAATCATTTCACAAAAATGAAAGCAGGAGTCCAAAGAAGTTAAAAATCCAGGAGTGTATACCTGAGTTCTTGAGGTCCATTACCAGTGAGAAAGTTGCCTTTCAAGAGCAATCCTCTGACAAAAATGGGGAAAACCATCACTATCGCCTCCTACTCCATGATGTCTGAAGTACTCGGTTCTTTATGTCAATGAAAAGCTAAATGAGGGTCTCCCTGGTGGCACAAGGGCTTAAGTCTCAGCACTATGGAGCTAAACAGCAACTGAAGCAAAAGTTCGATCCCCAGCCAGGGAGCTGACCCACGCGGCACAGCAGACCTCTCCTGTCTCACTGGCTGCTGCCCCTCCGAGTGTATTTCAGTGGATCCGCCTGTTCTGTTCCCCACTCTGTCTCTGGTGAATACTCTCATCTCCTGCACCTCTAGCCTACACCCTAGTTCTTATATGCATAAATAAATATTTTTAAATGAGTCGAATTAGAAAAAAAAACTACTTGAATGAAAGTGGGGAGGAGGGACTTAGAAGAAGGAAGTGAGGGAATCTCTCTGGGTGCTACAGAGAAGGTCATCCATGTTCTGTGGAGTCCCACTTGAACTCCACCAGAGCAGTTCAAGGTGCTACAAGAGGAACCTCAGGAAACAACTCAAAATGCACTGTCCCTCCTCTAACCTCCGGAATGTGTTACTCTCACTTCATTTGGGTAACACCCACAACTGACTACTATGACACAGATCTTTAGGAACTGGCATTTGCTCTTTTTGGCTTAGTTTTTAAGAAAAGTAGAAGCCTGAGAAAGATTTTCAGCAATAGCTGAGCAGCGGATTAGTGCTGCAGGGGGTGCCTGCTGCCCACGCCCTTGCAAGCATCTGTAAAATGGTTTACTCTGGTCTCACCTCTCCACCTTTCTGCAAGGGTTGCAAACTCCGATGCTTTCAGGGGCAAGGCAAGGCAAGGAAGGAAGAGCGGAGCAGGCAGGAAAGGACTATTGGACTAAGGGCCTGCACTTCCAGCTCACTGGGGAATGTGAGATGTTTCCATACTTGCCAGTTTTTGATGTGAAGCTGGAAATCAGATATGTAATACCTAATCTTAAAAAGTATTGACAGCTAATTTCAACATGAGAAAACAGGCCACTGGGGGAAAAGGTGCTCACTCGCCTTTGTAAATGAAAAGACAAAGCTAGTCTAAAAACAAAGCGAGGGGCCTCCCTAGTGGAGAGGGGTTAAAGTCAGTGCTATCCAGCTATCACCAGTTACTGTAGCACTGTTTAGATCCCCAGCCAGGGAGCTGACCCACAGGGCGCAGCAGACCTCTCCTGTCTCACCTGCTGCTCCCCTCCACAGTGTATTTCAATAGATCCACCTGTTCTGTTCCCTACTCCCTACCCCCACCTCCGC